TCACACACCTTTCGTTGGTGCGATCATATGCTGCGTGCTGCTGACGGAGAAAATGGAGGAGGCGGGAGACGGGACAAGGGACGGGATGGGGTGCAGCGCGTCGTGCGATTGTAATCTGGGCACAGCAGGTGATGGTGGGTAGGGGCACGGAAGCGACAGTGTGCTTGGCAGCCTTGACACGTTGTGTGTGCGAGAGAGAGGGAAGTGTGAAAAATGAATCAGTGGCTGCCTCATCGTTCGCCAGCAAGAAAGAAAAGAAAGTTGTGTGTGTGTGTGTGTGTGTGTGTGTGTGTGTGTGTGTGTGTGTGTGTGTGTGTGTGTGTGTGTGTCGGACACAATCAGTATCAGGCACGCGGAGAAATACACGCGCGCACGCAAACACCGCCGGGGGGGGTTGTTTTTGCTTTGTCGACCCTCACTCACACACTCCCGTTTATTCGCTCCCCTACACGCTTTCTCACTCACACACGTACCCACACACATGTGTACACATACGCCCATTCTCTCTCGCAGCGGATATTGGCGCGTTTACGATTCGCAACAGTTCGTCGGTGTTGGCGGTGCGGCTGCTGTTTTCAGACCCCTTCTTTGATGTGTTCGCAGGACACATGCCAAAGTGGAATGCGGAGGCAAGGTGCATGGTTGAACAACCCATCACCATCAAGCAACTCCGCGATCCGCAAGACCGAGACCACCTTGACGTAAGGCCTTGCCCATGTGCTCCAAGCGTGGTTGTGTGTGCGTGTGTGTATGTGTGCGTACTTGAAGTACTTGTGCTTGTGGTTGTGCGTGTACTTGAAACACTTTTGTGTGTGTGTGTGTATGTGTGTGTGTGTGTGTGTGTGTGTGTGTGTGTGTGTGTGTGTGTTGCTTGCATGCCTGTGCTGGGCACGTTTTGAGCCCTCCGCTTGCGTCGCACCTCACGTGCCGAACAAATGTATCTTCTTGCGCACACGTCACCCCAGGTTCTGCGCAATGAGGTCTGCGCGCTCCACGCCCTTCGCAACAGTGACCACCGCGTGATCGAGCTCATTGGCGTGCACATACACAAGCGCTTGGCGTTTATTGTTGTGTCACCAAAGCGGTGTTCCCTCCACCGCCTCCTCCTTGATTCTCGCGCCATCCCCGGTCGACCCGCGCTCATCGATCTGCCACAGCTCGTCCAGCTGGCCACGCAGGTGTGTAGGTGTGTGTGCGTGTGCACTTGTGTGTGTGTGTGTGTGCACTTGTGTGTGTGCACTTGTGTGTGCACTTGTGTGTGTGCGTGTGTGTGCGCGCTAGCCTATGTGCGCGCGCTAGCCTATGTGCGTGCGTGCGCGTGTTTGCTTGCGTTCGTGTCTGTACCCGTGTTTGTCTTTGAAGCACAAGCGTCAAACAATGGTGTGCGGTAAATCGTGTCTCTGGTGCTATGTTATTCTTAACGCATCTACATGCGTTTGTTCCCCGCCACATCAGGTGATTGCTGGGCTGTCGTTTGTGCATGAGAGGCGAATCGTGCATCGAGGTGAGCTACTGTTTGCGTGCATGCGATGGCACATGTGTTTGTTCAATCCAAACAACCTTGCATTTTTTTTTGTCAATGTTGCTCGCGCCCACGCGGTTGTGATTCTCGTCCCGCTCACGCGTGTTTGCCTGCATGCATTCATTCGCACATCTGTGATGATGGGTGTCAGCACTGTGCGCCGCGCACATTTTCGTCCACGAGAATGGACAGTTGCAGATTGGCGGCTTCTCGGCGGCGATTGTGCTCCCGAAACCAACGAAAAGCAGTGGAGGCAAGAGAAAACCAGGTCAGTGCTTGTTGGTGGTTGCCTGATGACTGTCGTTCTGCTTGTTATCGTAATCGTTGTTACGCTGTTACTTTCGAGGTTTCTTTGTTTGGCTGCTTGAACAGCGTGGAAAAATGAGGTGCGTGTGCCTGCAGGCGTCACCTTACCCATTTACGAAACCTTGCCGCTGTTTGTTTGAATGCGTGCTTCGCACAGGTCGCATTGACACGGAGAAGCTGTCGGAAGCTGTCCTGAGCGACTTGTTGCAAGTGCGATGGATGGTACGTCATGGCCACACCGGCACTGCGAATGCACACCTGCGCACCTGTGCGTTGTGTTTATGGTTGTTGCTACGTGGTGGTGTTGGGTCACCCTTTTTCCCTCTCTCACGTGCACGGCTGCTACGTTTCCTGTGGGGTGTTGCCCTTCTCTTGCGTGGAAACGCTTCATCCAACAGGCACCGGAGTCCATCGCTGACTGCGTCTTCAACTTTGCCTCGGACACATATTCGCTCGGCGTCGTTCTATGGGGTGAGTTTTTTGATGTGGCACACGTACACGTGTTTGAACAACACAAATAGCGTGATTTGCGCGTGTGTGTGTGTGTGTGGTTGTGTTGCAATGTGATGGTGCGTCGTGCTGTTTCCTGCACTTGTTTCACATGCTCACATGCTCACATTCGAAACCACCCCTTCCCTTTCCCTGCCGTCCCCCTTCTTCCCCCTCCTTCCCTACCCTCTCCTCCGTTGTGCAACCTCATGAATCAGAGCTCTTCACGTATGGGCAGCAGCCTTGGGCTGGATTCAGCAATGCAGAGGTTGCGCAGAACGTTGCAAAGCTTGGCCGAACGCTCGCCAGACCGCAGGCCTGCCCCATGCAGCTCTACCAGGTGCGCGTCTTGAGTTTGTGTGTGTGTGTGCGTGTGTGTGCGTGTGTGCGTGTGTATGTGTGTGTGTGTGTGTGCGTGTGAGTATGTGCGTGCGTGTGTGTGTGTATGGTGTATGTGTGTGTGTGAATTACTGTGCAACTGTGCGTATTGCGTGCGTCTCCACCTGCATGCATGCTTGTTGCTGGGGAAATGCACCATGAGGGGGCAAATCCGCTCACTTACCACATGTTTCGTATTGCTTGCATCATATCTTGTATTGATTGTGTCAGGTGATGAAGTCGTGTTGGGATGCCAACCCCCCAGACCGCCCCGTTTTGCCGGCGCTCTCAGAACAACTGCAGCAGGCCATCAACTCGAGCCTGCTCGAATCGCTCTCATCATTGTGAGTTCGTTCATGTCTGCCTGTGCCTGTGTGCACTTGTGTTTGTGTGTGTGTGTGTGTGTGTGTGTGTGTGTGTGTGTGTGTGTGTGTGTGTGTGTGTGTGCACTTGTGTATGTGTGTGTGCACACTTGTGTATGTGTGTGTAACAGTGTCTGTATGAGCAGTAATACAACTGCACCAACACTCGTCTCTGCTTCAAATGTTTGCGTCGTCTGTGTATGATCACATTGCAGGTGCTCACAGACACCTCCCCCCTTCTCTCCCTCACCCAATACGCATGCACGAACATCACCGCGACTGTGCTTGTAACAGCAAATCGACAGACGGCCTGCACCGCGGTCACGAAAGTCCGTTGGAGCAGAAGCCATCCAGGACGTCGCTCTTTGGAAACGTGGAGGCATTGGACGTGACGGGGCTGGGCATCTTTGGTGGCGACGACGACACGGCTGTTGCGGACATGTCGCCAAACGACCGCGATCAGATGATGATGGTCTACATGATGGGTCACAAGGACGACCAGGATGAAGACAACTGGACAAACCGAACATCATCACGACCCGCGAGCCCAAAAGCAAACACACGCTTCAGTTTCGTGTGAGCACTTCATCCCTGTTACTGTTTCGGTCCCGTGGGGGGCTGACATGAAGTGACCCCTCTTATTTCATTCTCATGCTTTAGAATAGGTTCTGTTGTGGTGTGTTTGTGTGTGTGTGTGTGTGTATGTGTATGTGTGTGTATGTGTATGTGTGTGTATGTGTGTGTGTGTGTCTGTCTGTCTGTCTGTCTGTCTGTCTGTCTGTCTGTCTGTCTGTCTGTGGTGTGTCTGTGTCTGTGTGTCTGTCTGGCTGAGTGCCTGTGTTGATTCTACCTGACCTCGACGTTATTTGGTGCTTGCTCTACACCCCACATCTTGCTTTTATTGCATCGCACCTTGATTGGTGTTGGTGCGACAGTTATTGAACCCTTGAACCCGCCGCTGGTGTTTGGTTCTTCCCTTCCGTTCATCTATTGGTTGCTTGCTTGGTTGGTGTTGACTGCCAACACGCGTGTGCGTGGCACTGGATTTTGCATTGTTGCGTGTCATTCAAGCTGTGTATTGAGGGTTTTGTACTACGAGCGCTGTTGGAAGAAGAGCGATGGATGTGGTGGGGTTGAGCCGTTAGGGGAGAATGAAGGGTTGTCGTGGGAGAGAAAACGACACGACACAACCCGACAAGACACGACACATGCAATGAACGCTGCATGGAAACGAACGAGTTGGGCTGAGTTGAGAAGAGAGGGGGAGAACAGAAACAACGGGTCAACGTAGCGCAAACAGATGTTGGTGTAGGCCTTTGCTTGCAAGCAATGGCGAGGCCATGGTGCCTAGCGGAACATGGTGCCTGCGCCCTGGGAGATGCGCTTGACTTGCTGCACATATGGCGTCGACTCCTGCACACGAAGGCAGAGCACAGCACAGGAAGCGTTACATAGTGGCGGGAAGTTGACAGCACACACACACACACACGCACATCATGTATTGTCATTTCCCATTCCCAAGCACACGCACGCACTCACGCGCGAACACAACGCACCTGCAGCTTGCCGCACTGCTGCAGGCAGATGGCGACGCATTCAGCGGCCTTGCCAACTTCTGGATGGTCCTTTCCGAGAAGACCTTCAAGCATCTGTTTGTCGATGTGACAGGCACACACACAAGAGAGTACGCGTAACAACACACCACGTGAAGTGAGTCGCACAGCCACATGCGTGCAAGCAAAACGTTGTGCGTGTGCGTGTGCGTGTGTGTGCGTGTGCGTGTGCGTGTGCGTGTGGCGTCAAACCTTGTGGGCTTCGAGCTCAATGGGCAGCGCCTCCAGGAAGCGATTCTGGTTCATGTAGAACACACCTGCCACATTTCGTGTGATCATCATCATCATCGAGGTGTGAGTCACACTACCTTGCTTTGAAGTTCACAACGCGGCACACACATGCACACACATGCGCACGCGCGCGCACGCAATGACTCACCCTTGTTGACGATGAGGCTGCCCTTGCGCTGCTGATCGGCAGCAGATTCCGTGCAGGAATCAATCGCCTGATCCATGTACTTGACAGCTTCGTCGACACTGGTGCGGATGGCAGAGGACAGACATGGGTGAGGTGAAGATTGCGAGTAGAAGAAGGAAGCCAAGCCAAGTCAAGTCAACTCATTCGCAGCCAACGCTGAGCACAAACAGCACGTGCAACGCCCTCGAGCGATCAGCGGGTGTTGCGTGCGACTCACTTCCCCTTGGACGCATGGAAGTGGGCAACTTGGTTGAGGACAGACTGGCGCGTCTCCATGGCGTCGCTCGACACAATCTCGTCGTTCGCCGTCACCTTCATTGCTTCGTCCAGCAGCGCTTGGATCTGGACACATGCACAAATTGCACGTGCGCCGGCATGTGCGTATGAGAGGTGGCGATCGTGGTGGGTGATGGAGAGACGGGGAGGGGAAGAGGGATACACAGACACACATACACAGACACAAGCACACACACAGACACAAGCACAGGCACACAGGCACACAGACACATACGCACACAGACACGCTCACAACACCGCACCTTGTCATCGCGGTTGGTGCGCGGGTCCATCTGCGATTGCGTCATGTACACGGCCGCCAGCGCAGACAGCGTGGTGGCGTTGTCGTAGTGCGTTGCTGCAGGAAGAGGGGAGACGATAACGTGTACATGTGTATGTGTGAGTGAATGTGCGTGTGAGAGTGAATGTTGGTGCACGTGTTGTGTTTGTTTGTGAGGGCGAAGGAGCAATCTTCACTCAACCAAACAGTGTTTGGCAATCCGAGGGAGATACAAAAACGTTGCACCCATGAACCAAAGCAACATTAGTGAGGGCAATCACAAGTCACTTCCACGTACGTCCAAGGGCCGATTTCTTCAGCGCCTGCGCTTGCGTCAGGTACTGTTCAGCGTTGCCAAGGTCGCCTGCAACCACGCACAAACAATGCAGATGGAGAAAGAGAAACAACGGAAGGAAAATGGATCCAAGTATAAACGTGGCGTGAGAGGGGTGAAGGGGGGGGGCAGAGTACACACTTGCACACACACACGCACGCACACACACACACACACACACTCACAGATAGACACACAGACAGACACACACACACACACAGACACACACACACACACAGACACACAGAGCGGCCTACACACATGCGCGCAACACAATCCATTTTTCGAGCAAGCGGCCGCACCGGCTTCGAAGCAAATGGAGCCGAGGTTGTGGTAGGCAATGGCAGTCTGAAGGTCAGACTCGCCAAGGCGCGACTTGCACAGGTCCAGCATTTGCGAGGCGAATTGCATGGCCTGGTTGGTGTTTAGTGAGACGGTGGAGATGAGGTGAGCGGAGGTGAGATGAGGGGAGGTGAGATGAGCGGCGTTACAGAGAGGGAGAGCACACACACACACACACACACACACACACACACACACACACACACACACACACACGCACGCACACGCACATACACACACGCACACGTGAGAGTGCAAGCACAAGCGCACCATGGGGATGTTTCCGACGGTGCGGTGGAAGTTTGCAATGTTCTTGAGCACCTCGACCTGCCACTTGGCGGCGTCTGCGCTGTCGCCGGCAGAGAACGCCACGTCGTGCGCCCGCTGCAGCACTGACATCGCCTGGACACGACACGGAAACGAAGCAGGGACCACGCGGAGGTGATGGGACATGAGGTGAGGTCATGGAGTGTGTGTGTGTGTGCGTGTGTGCGTGCATTCGTGTGTGTGTGTGTGTGCGTGTGTGTGTGTGTGTGTGTGTGCGTGCGTGCGTGCGTGCGTGTGTGTGTGTGTGTGTGTGTGTGTGTGTGTGTGTGTGTGTGTGTGTGTGTGTGTGTGTGTGTGTGTGTGTGTGTGTGTGTGTGTGTGTGTGTGTGCGCGCGCGCGTATGTGCCGGCTCAACGCCAGCGCGTCGACATGCTTCGCGTGCTCAAAACAGATGGTGACAAGCACATGTTCACGGCAACAGCGGCAACGCACAGGCATGGCGGCGCCCGCGGAGAGGAAGAGCTTGGCGATGTACACCATCGTCTGCACACGGCGTCTGGTCATGGTGATCGTGATGGCATGACGGCACGTGAGGTGGTTGGCGCGAGGAAAAAAAAAGGGGGGGGGGGCGACCAGAGAAGTGACACAGCGGTGAATTGGCACACAACAACGCGACGCTGCCGTGTTCAACATCACACAATACACACACAAACAGGTATACAACGCGTACATGGAGTCGTTTGAGGCCTCCAGCTGCTGCAAGACAGAGTTGGCGAGAGCAAGGCCTTCCTGCGTCTTGCCCCTGGATGATGCAAAACAAACGGTGTGTGTGTGTGTGTGTGTGCGTGCGGTGATGTGAGTGGTCGATGCTCGTGACTCACAGCAAAGCGACATGATGAAACGAGGAAAACGGACAATGACACCACACGCGAACCAAAACCACACACAAAGCTGCCGTCAATGCCTGCAAGCATGCACCAGCACGCCACGGTATCCACGCCCCCTCCCCTTCAAAAGGCAAGCACGGCCGTGCGCAACCCACTTCTGCAGCAGCTCCTCGGCTTCCTCGAGCTTTGCGAAGAAGAGGAGACCCGTCTCCGTGAGCGAGTTGACGCGACTCAGCAGCTGCGACAGGCGCTCGTAGTACGGCGCGGACCACTTGCGCCCACTGGTCGTTTGTGGGGTTGGTTGTTGGTGTTGTGAATGGGTTTGTGGGTGAGTTTGGTTATATGTCGGATTGGGTGTGTATGTGACAGGGGTGTGTATGTGTGTGTGTGTGTTTGTGTGTGTGTGTGTGTGTGTGTGTGTTTGTCTATGTGTTGTTTGTCTGTGTGTTTGTACGTGTGGGAGCGCTAGTTGTGTGTGAGTGTCTGTGGGAAGGGTGTGCAAGTTCATGTGCATGTGCGCGCATCATTACATTGGGGCGCCGAGGAAATTGAGCATGGAATCCATGGCCGTGAGACACGTGTACGCGTGGCGGACGTCAATCATGTCGCTCTCATCCTCAATCTCCTTCATCACTGCATCCATTTCGTCTTGGGCCCTGGCGCGGTGTACATGTTGTTGTCATGCGAGTGAGAACAAGTAACCGTCAGGAGGCAGTCAGCAGACCGTGCATGGAAACGAAACGCAACACACGCACGCACCACCCACGTACTACTCGCGCAGCACACACACACGCCCACTCGCATACACATACAAACAGATGCGGTGGCGACACGTGCAAGCGCCACGCACTTCTTTGAGAGGCGCTTGATGCCAATGGCAGTGGCGTAGGTGTTGGTGAGCGGCAGCAGGTGCAAGTTCGTGCCCCTGTTGATCGACGGGGCGAAGAATACAAGGCTCTGTGGCACAAAGTGTATGCGTGTGTGTGTGTGTGTGTGTGTGTGTGTGTGTGTGTGTGTGTGTGTGTGTGTGTTCGTGATAATGTGTGAGTGTGTGAGTGTGTGTGTGTGTGTGTGAGTGAGTGTGTGTGTGTGTGTGTGAGCGTGACGAGCAGCATCAGTAGAACAGTGGCATATCCATGAGGCCAGCATGGCCCGCCACTTAACACACCAACATACAAAAATGCGTGTGCGCATGTGCATGCGTCCCACCTCGGGGGCAGCCCAGACGTCCAAAAGGCCGTCAATGTCGCGCGTGCGGTAGTGGTGGAACGGCAGCTCGAGGCAGCGGCGCGAGTTGGGGTTTTCAAACAGGCCGTACTCGTTGACCTCTGGTTGTGATGGAAGTTGTGATGGTGATGATGATGGTGATGGTGATGGCGACGGTCGAAGTGATGAGTGAATGCAGTGTAAGACACGTGGCGCTAGACCAGCCGTAAGGAACTCAGACATACAGTCACGAAACGAAGGGGCAATCAAAAACACGATGCTGCCACCACCACCACCACCACCACAACCACCACCACCACCACCACGACTATCAATGCGCCGCACCTTTGCGGAAGACGATTGGCATTTCGGGCACGAGGCGGTCGGCGGCCAACTTCTTGCCCGATTTGGACACGTACGGCTTCTCCCTGGTGGCGATGAACGGACAGCGGCCAGGGACGATGGAGAGAGGATGTGAGCGAAGGGACGCGTGTGTGTGTGTGTGTGTGTGTGTATGTGTGAGTGTGTGTATGTGAGTGTGTGTATGTGTGTGTATGTGTGTGAATGGGAGGGGCTGAGTAAGTGCGTGAGTGTGCGTGTGCGTGTGCGTGTGCGTGAATGTGCGTGTGCGTGTAGGTGGGTGTGAGTCACGCACGTGTTGTGCCAGCGGCCCACAAAGTAGTTTGCGAGGCGCTGGTGGAACTGGGCTTCCTGCTTTGTTGCTGTCGTCTCAAACAGCAGCGCCTGCCAGTCCGCCCGCTTTCCAACCAGGTTGCGCTCCTGTGGGCAAACAAGCACAAGCATCCCACGTGTGGGGAGAGGTGTGTGGTTATGAAGTAATGTGGCCATGCAAGGACAAGGAATGGAGGGGTGGGGATGACAAGCGAGAGAGAGAGAGTGTGTGTGTGTGTGTGTGTGTATGTGTATGTGTGCGTGTGTGTGCGTGTGTGTATGTGTGTGAAGCATGGCATTCCAACAACAGTACATACTGCTGTTTGCAAGCCATGTAGTGTTAACGCAAGAACAAACCTGGTGCCATTTGTCGCTGTCCTGGAGGGTGAGGGTGAGCAGCTCCGAGTGGAGGTTCACGCCGAAATAGCGGTCAAGCACAACATTCGCAAACGACCTTAACGATGACAAGTTGGTGGGAGGTGACGTGTGAGTGATGGTGATCGTTGCATCATCCTGCAAGCAAAATCAGGCAACAGCCACTGCTGCTGCTGCTGCTGGCGCCACGCCGGCAACACAAGTATTCACACTGATCAAACCCCGCTTCAAACCAATGCAATTCAGCACCCATCACCACCACGACCAACACCATCACCACCACCACGAGCAGCTCACCCAAAGGCCCAGCGGTGGCAGGGGTGTCCCGTGGAGCTTGCGGCGGTGGTCATGTACGTCGAGAGGTCGCGCAAGAGGCGAACAATCAGCAGCGGTGGGATCCGGCGCAGTGGCGGCTCCCTGGTCACGCGCAGCAGTGGTGGTGGTGGTGGTGGTGGTGGTGGTGGTGGTGGTGGTGGTGGTGAGGGGAAAGGTGGGCATGGCAAGTGCGTGCGAATACATGTTCGTGTGCTGGGCGCATTCATGTTCTTGTATGGACTGTTGGATGTGGACATGCGTGTGTGTGTGTGTGTGTGTGTGTGTGTGTGTGTGTGTGTGTGTGTGTGTGTGTGTGTGTGTGTGTGTGTGTGTGTGTGTGTGTGTGTGTGTGCTTGTGTGTGTGCGGGGGAGGATTGTCTCACCAGTACTGGAAGACGTCGTTGAGCACGTCGTCATCCAAAGACCTGAATCGATGGACACGGGGGCAATACGAGGAGGGGAGGACAAGGGAGGCACAACGGCCGACGTGAGTGGCGAAGTAAAGCAGGCACAACCAAAACACCGCTCACAGAAAACCAACAACAAGAACAACACCAACAACATGAAGAACAGCAATGTGTGCAGCCCACAACCATTGAACAGCAAGTGCTACGACTCCAGTGCACGGTAACGCACAGGACGTCTTCGAGCTCGGGCGAGGTGAGGCCCTCGAAGCTGAGGGTGATGTAGCTGAGGGCGTGCTTCACCAGGAAGCGGCCGTGCGTCACCTCCATGTTGTCAAGCAGCTCGTTCAGGATGCCTGTTGCACATCGAACGATTAAAACCACGGCAAGGGTGAGATGGTGGTGGTGATTGTTGTTTCAGCGCCAGAAGCAACGTCGAAAGCTGGAAATGTGGGCGTAACAAAACCCCCAAGAAACAAAACAAAACAAACAAAAACATGTTCAAACACACAACAAAACAAACACAAATACGCAAACAAACAAAGCAAAACAAACCCACGCACCAGCAGCTGTGGGCGGCAGCGATGGTGAACCTGTGCTGGACTTCCAGTCACGCGACACTTGAATGGCCATGCGCACATACAGTGCATTCAGGTTTTGCTTGCAGGCATTCTCAAGCAGTTGGCTACAAGCAATTGCAAATGACAGGAGCAAAACACCAGCAGCAGCATGATGATGAGCTTGCAGCAGCGCCAAAGAAGCAGGCGCCATAGCGAATCCCAGCTCTCAGTTGACCCTCATTGGCACTCGCACAACACCCCCCCCCCTGCAACACCTCTGTCTCCTTCTGCCTCCATTTCGTGCGAGCCGATGCAGTAACAGCGCGCTTACCGCTGCGCGTCTGTGAGTGTGCGGTTCTCGCGCTTGAGTGTCCCGTCGACCATTGCCGCAACGTCGTCGCTCTCAAGCGGAGGCACCTCCACAAAGTGCTCTGCTCGCATGCGCATGCGTGTGAGCGAAAGTGTGTGCGTGAGAGTGTGTGTTTGTGTGAATGAATGCGTGAGGGTGTATGTGCGCGTGAAAGGTGTGCTTGAGTGAAGTGTGTGTGTGTGCGTGTGTGCATGTGTGCGTGTGTGTTCGTGTGTGCGTGTGTGAAAGCCAACGTGATGAAGCGTGAACAAACACGCACAAGACTACTGATAAAGTGCTGGCAATAGCGTGTGCTCACCGGCGTTCTTGTCGACGAGTGAGTGGCATTCGAGCCACGCACCTGGGGCGTGGCTGCTCACGGTCAGCAGCACCTGAGCGATACACACACACGCACGTAAACACACACGCACGTAAACACACACGCACGCACAAGATTGCACAATTTAGACGCGTGAGCAACACAAACACAACCGTGTGTCATGTACAGCAAGCATGAGCACACTTGCCGCTCTCCATTCGAATCCCATAAACCTCGTTCGTTGCGCAAACAGACCTTGACGTGTGGCGGCAGCTGCTTGGGGAACCAGAGGCCGAGCTCAAACTGGCCCGACGCCGTGTTGAGCCTGCACACCACACGCGGAAGAAAGATTCAGAAGGGGGAGGGGGGGTTGAAGATAGAAACGAGAGATGGCGGTGGTGATGGGGTGAGTAAGGATATTACGGGCAGAGAAGATTTGATCGCAGTGGAAGCAAGTGCACACACGTGCACACACGCAACATCACTTGCATGCGCACATGCATGGTGTTGACTGACTTGTCGATGCCATCAAAGAGGATGGTGAGCGGCTGCGACGGCGACGCGAGCGTGAGGACCTCCTTGAAGCGCTTCTTCAGCTCCTCAATCGACTCCGGAAACGCAATGTCCTGCTTGTACGCGGAGAGAATCTGGAACACAACAGAGCGCATTACGTCGGGGAGGTTGGTGCCCTGCGTTGAGTGGCCGAGGAAGCGCGTGATGACGGCTGCGCGACCATCCGTCAGCTCCGTCGCCACCTTTGCCAGCAGAGCCGACTTTCCACTCCCTTCAACGCCAGCCTGATTTGTGTGTTGCATGTGTGTGTGTGTGTGTGCATGGTTGAAGGATTGTGAGGCAAGTGCAAGTGCAAGTGCAAAAGCAAAGGTAAAGATGCAGAGACACCAACGCGTAAATACACACACACACGCATGCACAACACACACACACACACACATGCACAACACACACACACACACACACACACACACACACACACACACACACACACACACACAACAAAAGCAGCGGACCAGAATGAGCGGGGCGGTTGCCGGGTGCTTCGGGTTGAGTCGCTCGAGGACGCGTTCAACGAGTGCGCGGCGGCCGAAGAAGCACGACGACAGTTCCTCACGCCGCTCGTTGTGGATCACAACCTAGGGTAGTCAGGGGACGGTGCGTCGTAGTTGCCATGAGTGGAGATGGTGTCGTGTGTGGCATGGGTGGCGGTGTGGTGGTGGTGTGGCGGGCGGGCTGTGGTGAGCGTGTGCATCGCGAATGTTGATTTGTGCTGGGCTTTGTTGAACGTGTGGATAGAAGAGGATGATGGGAAAGGACGAAGGGAACACGACTGAAAATATCAACATGGGCGTCACTGCACAGAATCAGCGGCCACCTCGGCGATGTTTGGGTCGGCGGCCAGCTTCGTGTTGGCGAGCTGCTGGTTCTGCTCAACCATGCTGATCAACTTTGTCGTGAACCTGAACACGCGTTCGCCCGCGCACGCACACAATCGGCGATTGAGGGGCCAATGCGTGAGTGGGTGAGCGAGTGGGTGCGAGGGTGCTAAAACTAGGAGAGGGAAGAACGCAAACGAATACGTGTGTCACGAGCACGCGCACCACATCAGGTACATGGTGCACACTCACTCCTTGACGAGCGTGTCGATGTACTGCTTGTGCTCGGGTGCGTCCTCGTCGATGCCTTTGCCCTGCGCGTACTTGACATTGTACTCGAGCACAGCGTGGTCCGGCAGTGCACGTGGCAGCCGTCCCGCCCGCAGATCAGCAAGCAGCTCGCGCGCCTCCTCATCACGCTGCGGATAGCGCATGTGCGCGCGCGCGCGTGTGTGTGTGTGTGTGTGAGGCAGAAAGTGTGTTTGGATAACAAAGCAGGGCAATCAATGAAAAAAGACAGGCAGAGACAGAGAAAGAGCACGCAGGTGTGCGCTTGCGTCCAATGTGTGCATGTCTCCCCTCCTGCATGCGCACCTTTCCGCCAGCCATATCGGTGAATGCGCCGATGCGGTCGTCATTTCCTTTCGTGGCGACGGCGTCGAGGTCCTCAATCGTGCGCTGGTGGAAGGATGGTGGTGGTGGAAGGTGAGAAGTAGGGGTCGTGATGGAAGGTGTGAGGTAGTGGTGGGAAGGAGAAGGTGAAGGTGGTGAAGTAAGGTGGGAAGATGGCGGTGGGGATTCATGACACAAAACTCAGCCGAGTGAACGTTTGGGAAACGTAGCAAGCGAGATGAGGGCCATGGTTGCACATGCAGAGACGCGAGATCACCAGCAGCTAATACAAAGTGTGCAGTCAGAGCTCGCGTGTCATGGTTGCTCACCTTCACCCACAGGCACTGGTTTTCGCGCGTCTGTGAGTCGACGGCGAGCACGCCGCGAATGATTTCCTCCTACACACGACACACACACACGCACACGCATACGCACACGCACACACGCAATATACAGGGGAGAAGAATGATTGGTTGGATGCATGTATGTATGTGTGGTTGATTTGGGTGGTTGGCGGTGTTGGCGCTGCACGTTGGGCGTGCGATGGCTCACAGCAGCACGTCACGTTGCGCGAACTGAAGCAAGCAAACAAGCACACGCAAGCACACGCAAGCACACGCAAGCACACGCAAGCACACGCAAGCACACGCAAGCACACGCAAGCACACGCAAGCACACGCAAGCACACGCAAGCACACCATCACGCCGTTGCCGGCCGCACCTCTGTGATGGAGAAGTAGTACTTGTGGCGGGTCTCCGGGTCGTTGGCAAAGACCTTGTCCGCAGCGTGGCGCAGGGCCGCAGACATGCGCTCAAACTCATTCCACCACTGCGCACGTTGCTGGTGGGTTGAAGGAAACAGGCCACGGTGTTGGTAGAGAGGTGGCGGTGGTGAGTGCAAGCTTGCACGTTTTGACGAAGCGAACGAAACAGAAACCGTACCCACAACCACAACCACACACACACACACACACACACAACCACAACACACACACACACACACACACACACAACCACAAACACACACACACATGAAAGCATTGCTCCATTGTTGCTGCGCCGCGTGCGTGTGGTGCTCACCTGCTTGCGCTTGTCCGGGTCGTCCCAGGAGATGAAGTTGGGGAGGTGGTGCGTCACGGGCAGCAGGCGGTACGTGGCCGGGATCTGTATTCATGTGTGGGGGAGCGGGGATGAACATGGCGAGATGGTGGTGGTGCTGGTGGTGAGCAACGACACCTGAAACAAGCGTGACACCCAAGCCGCGCAATGCACGCACACTGATGTGTAAGCACACACAACCACACACGAAAGCACACACATACGATTTTCACACACACACACACACATCGCTCACACGCACACCTTGTTCGTGTCGAGGTCGAACCACTTGCGCAGGAGCTCCTGGTCCTCGGGGCTGCATTGCGCAATGAGCGCATCCAGCTCCGACTGCACAATGTACACGGGGAAGGGGCGGTATCCATAGCGCTGGGACAACAGCGTCACAAAGTTGGGGCCAAGGGACTGCTCCTGCGACTGCCGAATCTCCTCCATACCTGAACAAAGGGGGAGTGGTAACGATTACACAGTGGTTGTGGCACACACACACACACAAACACACACACACGCACACACACACACACACACACACACACACACACACACACACAAGCACGCACTGCATCATCATCATCAAACGCACAGATTTCGGTGGTCTTGTGATCGGCCGTGCTTTCGTCGCGAATGCCCCAACGCATGTCAACGACCTGTTGATGCGAAGCAATAAAACACACGCGGCAGTGGGCACGTGTGCAGAGCGCATCAGTGGCAACGAAGCTTGACAATGCTTGAACACAGTCTGAACCCGACGATCGCGGAGGGTCGGCACAACATGCAAATAAACACACACACACACACACACACACACACACACACACACACACACACACACACACGAACACACGCACACACACATGCGCACGCCCGCACACATGCGCACGCCCGCACGCACCTGGAACTCGAGGCCAATCTCTGCGAGCTCCGAACGGATGATCGGATATGAGCGGGCCATGAGCGCGTTTCGCTCCACCTTCAAGTCGTCAAATGTCGACGACGTGAAGATGCGCACAAGCTGTTGGTGGGCGAGGAGATACGTTTGTTTCGTGGAGCCGTGGTTGTTGCAGGCGTGAGTCTGGAGGCAACGAGGTTGGGGTACATACACGCTCAGCAGGAAGCACAACCACCACCAACCAGAAGAGCTTAAAACAAAACATGCACACTCACACACACACACACACTCACACTCACATGCAAGCAAAATACACACACACACACAACACAAACAACACCGAGCAGTGCGCGGACCTTGCTTGGCGGGCGGATCTCAGGATCAAACTGGCCACACATGATGGACTTCATGGTGTCACCCTGCTTGAGTGTGCGGTATTGCGTCTGCACAACACTCCACGTGCTCTTGTCACTCAGCGGGATGGCGTTCTTGCAGATGAACGCCCACCGCTCCTGCAGGTCATCCAGCGCCTGTTGGTGGAGGAGAGAGATGAGATGGCAGTATACAGCAAGGGAAAGGAGGAAGAGAAACACAAGGTAAGAGTGTGAGAGAATGTGGGCGAGAGTGTGTGTGTGTGTGTGTTTGTATGGAACAAATGGCAAGTAATTCGCGTTTCTTGACCAAGCACCAGCAACGACAGCAAATAATGAAAACAGCTTTGCCACCACTGCCACCACCACAGCCACCGCCACCGCAATCGGCCAACACGCTTCGCACCTCCTTGCTGTATGTTTCCTTGCGGCTGTAGTGCTTGACAAGGCGCTCCTTGGCCATGCGAACGGCCTCAAACTCGGCAAAGACGAGACACTGGTGGATCAGCTTCCAGTCGCGGAACAGGGTGAGGGCTCGATCAAACGCGCCAACGCGGAACAGGCTGAGGAAGATGGTGCTGGCCAACCCGACGATGCGCGTGACACCAACGGAGTGGAGGGCTGCCTTTGACAGGCGCAGGTACCGCTGCTTGTGCTCGTTCACCGTCGTGCGGGCTGCAACCCTGCAGCAGCCGCAAAGTGACGCAGAGCATGAACGGGAGAGCAGGATAAGCAGGAGTGTGTGCGTGCGTGAGTGTGTGTGTATGTGTGCATGAGTGATTGAGTGTGTGTGTGTGCATGTGTGTATGTGAGTGAGTGTGTGTGTGTGCATGTGTGATGTGAGGGAGAGAGAGTGTGTGTGTGGATGTGAGGGAGTGTGTGTGTGTATGTGAGTGAGTGAGTGATTGAGTGATTGAGTGTGTGTGTGTGTGTGTGTTGGCGTGATTTCGCACGAAAAACGATAAACTTCAGGCAGTGCATAGTCCGGCGACAGCCAACACAACAACGTCACAGAGCCACGCGGCACGTGCATTGCAGGCGATTGAATGGCTGCACCTACGCACCACTTGAGGCCGGCCTCGACGACCTGTGTGCTGGGCGGGAAGTACACACCAGATGCAGACACCTGCGGCTGCGTCCCCACGCCAGCAAACGACCGCAACAGCCGTCGCACCTGCAGTTGTACGTGTACATGTGTGTGAGTATGTGTGTTCGTTTGTTTGTGTGTGTGAGTATGTGTGTGTGTGTGTGTGAGTGTGTGTGTGTGTATCCGCGTGAGAGATGTTGTCAAAAGCACGTCCCAATCCACAACAAACAACAGACACATGCGTGCAGCATTCACATGAGTAGCGTGCACATGTGCAACGCACCTCCTTCCTGTTGACGTCGACTTTGTTGTCCTCACAGTACTCGACAATGAAATCGAGCGCCGTTGTGGACGACGCGCACAGCGTGAACACCGTATCCAGCACAACTGCGCACAGAAAACGGGAGGGGCGTTACTTGTGAGACAAAGCGAGAAACGAACGCCACGGCACACACACAAACAAACAAACAAACAAACAAACAAACAAACAAACAAACAAACACACGAACAAACGAACAAACGAACAAACAAACAAACAAAAACACACACACACGTACACACACACGCACACACGGACACATACAAACGCAACTACACCCTGCTGCCCTTCCTTCCTCCCCACACCACCAACACCAGCATCGCGGTAACGTACGCTCTTGTGTGTATGCGTCTGCGGCGGTGTCGAAGAAGAGGCTGACGCCCGCATCGACAGTAGATGGCGGCGATGCAAGCGTCTCCTCCACGCGTTCGGGGAAGAACTCTTGCATCAGGCGCAGGCAGTTGGCTGCAAGCACGTGCACGAGCACAGACTTGCCGCTGAGCTTGCTGGCAACGCCCTCGGCAAGCTGCCGGTGTGTGAGAACGGCGCCAGCGGAGGCGACAGCACCGCCGCGGTCCTGCTCGCTATCGCCCTCGCTCTCCGGCCGCGCAAAGGGGAGAATGCCGTCAAGGTACATCTCCATCATGTCTGCCATCACGGCCTCTGTCTTGGGCTTGGTGTGCACAACGCCAACCTTGAGGCCCTTGCTGC